ATAACTCAATAATCAACCATAAATTAATCAAAATCATCAAGTCGTAGGGTTCAACTTCCCCGGAACTAGAAATAAAATTAGCCTAACATAATAAATAAAAAGAAATACTAGATAAAAGAAAGAGATTAATTATCTCCCTTGTGTACGGGTGCGGTCTCCCTCTGCGATTCGTCGAGCTCTCGTGTCTCTGTCCTGTGCTCTGCTCCGTTCTCTTCCTTTTCTCTGCGTTCTCAGATAAATATGCTTTCTTTTAATTGTCTGGCGGCTCCTCCCTTCTCTGTTGCGTGAATTCCTCTTAAAAATAAATCCTCCCACCGATATAAGTATGTGTGTCCCACGGCTCTAATAAATTCTTCAAGCAATTGTAAATCTCTCCAGCCCAAACAACATTCATGTAATGTACGTGAGTAATTTTATTCCTCAAGCCCAATAACATTTTCTCGTTTCTCTTTTTCTGGGGCTAATTAAATAAAGTGGGCCTAATTCATGCATTTTGGGCTAAGTGTCGTAATTGATCGCGTAAACTTTCATCGAGTGTTTCGCGTCCTCAAAGTACTCCAATATTCTGAAAATAAACCAAAAACATATCATAGCACTCATATTCATTTAATAAATAAATAAGTCAGAAATTAGATAAGTGCGATAAAATCAAGCATATAAAATACGCTAATAAATATATAAAACACACACTTTTTCCGACCAATCAGTCATGCATAGCTCGTCGACCGTCGAGTGTTAGCACGCAGTCTACTCAATCCTCCTTGTGGAGGTCGACCCTTCTACGGTCATCCTTATTCGCGTTTAGCCAAGCATTTCATAGATGTCGAGTTGGGAGATTGTTGGTCCTTGCTACCATCATTATCTTGCTACATCAATATGGTCCACTTAATAATATATGAATTTCCATAAGGAAAAAAAAATGACCCCACTAAGTATATTGTAGAGTTAAAATGATGTTAATATAAAATGTATTTAACAATGAGGTAGAATCAAGAATTATAAATTTCACATGAACAAAGTTTATATAGATTAAAAAAAAAAAACAAAGTATTCAGCTTGTAAGAAATATAATTATATATTTTAAAGAAACCTGAGTAAATATAAAATAATGTAACCAATATATAATAGAAATAGGTTAGCTTGTTTTGAGTTAGAAGTTAGGTGAGTTTGTAAATTCCGAATCCGAATATAAATCACATGCCTGCTCATCAATCAGCCCTTCCTTCACAATCTAGGAATCCAAAATCGAATCACAAATTCCAAATGTTGGGCCTCCCCTCTGATCTCCAACGCGAGATCCTCCTCCGCCTCCCTGGCTCCTCCCTCCTCCGCTTCCGCGCAGTCTGCAAGTCTTGGTGCCACGAGATCGACGATCCATCCTTCGTCAGGGCCCACACGGTAAACAACCACCGCACCTCCACGTCCACCTCCAACCTCCTCCTGACAACCCCCTCTGCCATCTACTCCCTTCCCGTCGATTCCTTGAGGTACGTTGATGGCCAGCGGACCCTCAGTGCCACCCGGGTCCAGAGCGCCGCCCTGCTCCGGCCGGGTCTCTTCGCGGCCTCCTGCAATGGCCTCGTCCTCATCTCCCACTACGACTCCACCAGCACCTGGGTGGTATGGAACCCACTCACCGGAGATTATCTCGAGCTGCCCCGGACTGGCCTCGAAGACAGCCCATTTGTGGGATGCGGGATAGGGTATGATCGGTCCTCAGACGACTACAAAGTCATTAGCGTCCGCGAGGTTGTGAGGTCAGTGTACCAGACTCACATCTACAGCCTCAGATCCAAGTCATGGAAGAGGATCGAGGACTGCCCGTCCCTCCTATTGTTGTCGATTGAAGCCACATTGTTAAACGGGGCATTGTACTGGTTTGCAGAGGACTCAGTAGTTGCGCTGGATCTTGCCACCGATAGGTTCCGCAAGCTGCCCTTGCCATATTCTGGTATGTCTTATATCTTGGGCTTCGAGGTGTTGGGAGGGAGTTTGGTTGTGGTTAGAAATGTAGATATGCGCGAAGCCTGGGTTTTGAAGGAGGATTATGAATGGGTGGGACTGTCCACGCCCATGGGTCTGAGCCTCATCAAGGACGAAAAGCGGCTTGTGCTTCCTTGTGGCCGCTTGATTATACACTGGGATTTACAGACTCATTCTCAGAAGCTGATGAGAATCGAGAAGCTGGTGAAAATAGGTGACCCTTTGTGTACTCACATTGTTGAGGAAAGCATTTTCCGATTTGGCCGTCCGAGTATGGCGGCAAGAGTGAAGAGGAAGAGTATCAGCGAGGCTGATGAGAGGTAAAAAAAAAA